TCAACATATATATATAAAATTATTATTAAATACATATTATTATATATATTATATTATATTATTATATATAATAATAATAATAATAATAATAATAATATATACTATTAAATGTAATTAAATACTATTAAATTTATATTATTATTAATAGTATATATATATATACTATTAATAATAATAAATATATATATACTAAGAATATGATAAGTATTTTTTATAATTAAGTATATTATATTATTTTTTATATTATTATATAAAATTATTATTATATATATAATAATAATAATAATATATATATATAATAATAGTATATATAATATATTCATTATTATTATTCATTTATTTATTAATATTTCTGAATAGTTATATTCAGAATAAAAATTCTTCGTAACTGTTTCCACCAAAATTATTATATCACGGTTCGCAGCTTTTCAAGTCCCGAATACGAAAAGTGGTACATATATCAGCCTTGATAAATTTCAGCGCGAGATCATACATTCCGTTAGCGAGAAATATTATACCAGAATCTCCATAATCGAAGAACTCGCGTGATAAATCTATCGTGGCGCTCAAGCACACATTTAGATTGCGGGACGCGGAATTAGAAAGAAATCCATTGGATTATCGATAACGTTCGGTATATTTTGCGATCGGCAGACAGTATATGTTTACGGTGTAATCGGTCGATCATCTTGGTATGAAAACGGTTGTTTATCTGGACGCGCGCGTAAGGAGCCGATGGTGCGTCGACTCGCAACTTCGTTCGAAACAGTGAGCCTCTTATGGTCCGATTGTAAATCTGTCTGCAAACAGAGGCCGATAAAGTGTAGAAGAAAAATGCTGTTCAGACGACGGTATCTTGATTCGATACGAATCTCGCACGATGCGATCGTTAATCGAATTACGATACGATCGTCGCTCTGATACACATACTACAATGTACAGTGATTCGCATTAATATTCGGACACGATATTGTCACAAGAATTATTGCTCCTTTTTATCGTTTACGATAGTGTTTATTGTTTTCGTATTTTTGTAATTTTCTTGCCAAAACAACGTTCCAAATTGTGTCTTTTTACATTTAAAAAAATTGATCTTTTTTGGCCGGCCTTTGTCAAAAAAACTGTGCATTAAGGGGTCAATAAACTAGAATAAATTGCGTGTCTTTACGCGCAATTCGAATTGTTTTATAACGAAGTGTCGCACGAGGAAGATATTTCGATCATGTTTCGTATCACTCTCGTTTCCTCGTACCGTTTATCGCGCAGGATTCGGTGCACGCTGACATCGAAGGTAGTTTCTCGCTGCGCTCAATGTCAACATTTAGTGTGCGTCAAGTGTACTATAAATCTGTCGACCGTGATAAACTTAACAGATCGACCATAATGGAATATGCCGTTTCGAGTAGAATCGAAATATCGCACGCGCGTGCATTGCTATTCATAGAGTATCATCGTACAGTGCAACTCGTGACGAACGAGCATGTCCGCCGCTTCGTTTAATTGCCTCTCGAACTATGACAAAATCCTGAACCCCGTACCACGCTAGGATTTCTATAGCCGTAGATCGTTCGCGCATTGTTCTCGGAATTAGTCGTGCAAATGCTCCCAAAACGAATTAACACGTTCCGTGCCGAGCTTTTTTTACTCGAATCTTCACACTTTGATATTTGACTAAAACTTGATGTATTACGTGCAATTATTAATTCTCGTACACATAACAACGTAACAAAAACTTATCAACGCCCATTCTTGCGGTGGAAATTGATTGTTCGGTTCTAAATTTCTTGTAAACAATTTATTCAGTTCACTAAGTAAACATGCAAGCGTGTACCATCGATGGTACACGTGGCACGGAACGTGTTAATCCTGAGAACTATCAGGTCGTCAAGCATGAAATTTGTAGAAAAGAAGGCAAAGTTGCTTCATAACTTACAAATATGAGGAATTATTTGATTCATCGAAGTATGCACCCATATTGTCTATGCACTTTTGCCATTCAAGCGGCAGGTTGTTCAGGCCGGTGACATAAAACCCTGGCGGACGAGAGTCAATGAATTCCTGGCAGACCAGTTTTACAGCATTGTCGGAATTAATTTGTTTTCCCGTTAAAAAATTGTTCAATGCTAGTCGCGCCCGCGCTCATCGATAACAATTCAATAAACTGCATTAACCCTTTCGCTATGGGCGGGTTCTCCACCGCGGTACTTCCGCTGAACGGAGCGCCGCGACATCACTGCACGCTACGCGACGCCGATCGTCAGCGGGAGTACCGCGGCGGAGAACCCAAGCTGCTTGAATGTTTTCGTACGAAAAAATTTCTCTCCAAAGGGTATTTATAAATAAAGGGTATTCCAGGGTATTTATAACGTCTTAATGCGCTCTTTAATTTACAGTATGAGAGGAAATAAAACATTATGCAATATAATGCATCTTATGGACTGTCTCTTATACACATCTAGATGTGTATAAGAGACAGCCCAAGCTGCTTGAATGTTTTCGTACGAAAAAATTTCTCTCCAAAGGGTATTTATAAATAAAGGGTATTCCAGGGTATTTATAACGTCTTAGCATGCGCTCTTTAATTTACAGTATGAGAGGAAATAAAACATTATGCAATATAATGCATCTTATGGAAGGCCACTATAGTGGCCCGTAGTACCTCAGTGACATCTTATGGAGGGCCACTATAGTGGCCCGTAGTACCTCAGTGACATCTTATGGAGGGCCACTATAGTGGCCCGTAGTACCTCAGTGACATCTTATGGAGGGCCACTATAGTGGCCCGTAGTACCTCAGTGGCATCATACGAAAGGCCACTATAGTGGCCCGTAGTACCTCAGTCACATCTTATGGAAGGCCACTATAGTGGCCCATAGTACCTCAGTGGCATCTTATGGAAGGCCACTATAGTGGCCCATAGTACCTCAGTGGCATCTTATGAAAGGCCACTATAGTGGCCCGTAGTACCTCAGTGACATCTTATGGAGGGCCACTATAGTGATCCGTAGTAGCGAAAGGGTTAATAGTAACCTTAAACACGCTCTCCGATTCGCTTACCTTCCCTTCAGTGCTAAAATGATAATAACAATTTTCAATGGCGCCTTACAGTCGCCACTCGAGTTCGAAGGGTTAAGCGCCAGCGACGTTCCAAGCAGGTGGTTGATGCCGAATTAAGTGATCCCACATGGTACCGCTTCGCCGATGCGTACACGCGCGTATGAATTCTTACTGTTCCCGTTCAGAGGCCCGTAAATCAGGCTTGATTAAGGTGGCAAATATTCCTTATGCGATTAATTTCAAAGCGCTTTGACAGTCCAAATAGATAGACGCGAACGCGTCGGCCAATATTAAAGCATTAGGAACGGTTCTTCGGATTTAGTGGTTCGAAAACCGCTGCGACGTCGACATCGGTGGTAGTTCGCGATTGCGTTCACGACTGTGACTGCGACACTTGAGATTAAAGTATAATCAAACGCGTAGCATACACATCCCCCATTCGTCTCGGTACGTATCGACTTACCAAACGCGATTCTTTCGAGGAAACATTGTTCCCGTTATCCTCGTGATCCAGTGATCAGCTTGTTTCACTTGTATCCGTGTCACTCTTGCATGAAATATGCATTCCCGTTTGATCTCTTAACTACGGATATATTTGTTTCTAAACGCTTTTTCAGATGACCAAGTTGATTTCACCGAAATGGAGAAAGATCGAAGAACGGAAGTGAAGAATCCGCGACAGAGGGCCAATGCGTTATCGATTCTATCATTCTCGTAAGGATACGGTATCTCAACGGACTTACATTTTTGTCTTTAGAGGGTCTAAGGAATCTATTCCCCCTCCCCCCTCCCCCAAACCCCCGCACCGCACTAGTTACAAAACAAATACGATAAGTCATCTGTGAAACTGGAACATTAGATTTTCATAAATATAATTCATGTGATCCTAACAACGAGAGTTTTTCTTTCTTCTGAACGAGACTATTGTGCGGATGAGAACCGGAGAGATCTCAAGATTTCGTCTCGTTTAAATGAATTTTTCTCATCGTTGAGATTGTTTTTCCAGCAGGGGAACGGAGAATCATCGGGGGAGAGAGATTTTTTCTGAATTCTCGCGTAGCCGAGTCTTTTCTTTGCCGGGTGTTCCGACGATCTGAACATGTTTGAAAACGTGCTTTCGACGGAAACAGGTGGACATGGAAGCTGTTCGCCAAGGGGTACAAACGGGAATTGAACGTGGACGATCTCACCGATCCTCTGCAAGAGGATAGGAGCAGCAGTTTAGGCCGGCGCATTGTGAAAAATTGGGAGGACGAAGTGAAACAATGCGAGACGAGGAAGGACGGCTCGAAGCCGAGCTTGTTCCGAGTGCTTTACAGATGCTTCGGTAGCATAGTCCTATACGCCGCGTTGTGGATATTCCTTCAGGAATTCGTTCTACGGTACGGTAACGAGCGTCCGCCGCGACACAATTTATTTGACATCGGTACAAAGTGCCGCTCGGAGAACAAAATATTAGAATCGCGCCGCTGTCTATTAGATCGCAGTTATGAAACAGCTTGCGTAACAGATCGAAAACAATAAATTATGAACGGTCGCGAAGATGAACGAAAGTTGAATTCGTCTGTGATCTCCGGAGACCACGGGTGTTACAGTTAAGGGGTTAACTGGTGTTACTATGTTGACGCGATCATTATTTTTAGTAAATCGATCCCGCTATATGCCGGTGTCGCGCGAGGCGGTATCATTTTCTGCATTCTTTCCTGTCGGCTACGCGAACTCGGCATGCTGCGATTATTTATATTGTAAAACATAACAGAGCGACAACGATTCGCGAAAGGCTCGGTTCATCTTCGCTTTTCTTTGCTTCGCTTCCATAAATGCGAACGATGGATCCACGTGCGATATCATTTCTTTTTAGAATCATTCAGCCGTTTCTGCTGGCTAGATTGTTGCGTTATTTTTCCGGGAATAAGAAAACATGGACCACAGACATGTATTATTACACGACGGCGTTCTGTCTGGTCCCTTTCCTCGACGGCGTTGTCACGCATTGGGCTCTTCAGACCTTGATGCACGTGGGCATGAAGATCAGAATCGCTTGTTGCACACTGATATACAGAAAGATCCTGAAACTGTCCAATTCCGTCCTCGACAACGACACGTCCACCGGACAGGTGATTAGATCATTAATCGGGAGCCCCTCGTCGAGCCTTCGTATCGGATCGTTTGACGTGTTTGGAATCGATGTTGTAGATGGTGAACTTCCTGAGCAACGACGTGAACAGGCTCGACTTCTTCGTCTTCAGCATTAATTACTTATGGATCGGACCGCTTCAAATGATGCTAGTTACTTATCTTATATTCCGTGAAATCGGATTGGGAGCCGTAACCGGAATGTCGGTGGTCGCGATGAGCATACCATTGCAACGTAAGTGTCGCCGCTGCGCAAACATTGGTTTCCGCCGAAGAAATTAACCCGTTTCGTCGCTAAACGCTGAAGTATAACCAGCTCGAGCAATCCTCGCGTTTCTTATCGACGCTTACATCCGAACACGAGGTAATTACATTGTTTATCAATTTCTTGTTCGCACGTTGCTGCAGTATACCTCGCTCGAAGAGTGTTGCGTTTCATCGATGGTTCGGCGAAGAAAACCGACTACAGGCTCAAGCTAATGAATCAGATCATCGCCGGGGCGGAAGTGATCAAGATGTACGTTTGGGAAATACCATATTCTCTTCTTGTGGAGAATGCCAGACGGTAAGAAAAATACGATCGCATTGTCTCGTCCGATCCCTGTCCGCGTAAAGTTCCAACGATTGCAGCTTCTCCCATCGGTACATATTTATTTTTCCAACGTACAGAGTTCGGCTGAATAACATGCACAAGCGTCCTCAGGATGATACCTGATGAAAGAGATGAGAAAAACTAAGAGTTGTAATCAAGTTCTCTCCGTTTAAGATTAAACGTGCCAGTTGACTCCTAGTCAACAGTATTTTCAAACATATTTTTCTCTAGAGAACGATTATTATATAAAATTATTATTATTATTATTATTATAATATATATACTAAGAATATGATAAGTATTTTTCTAATTAATATACAGTAGAGATTCCCGTATCCGAACTAACAGGGAGACAAAAGTGGCCAGATAGAAGTTTTGGGTAATAGAGAACGATCACCTTCTTTCGCATTAAACTTCATTTATTCCAGTAGAAAGTAACAAAATTGATAGTTTCTTTGAATATTTAAGGGTAGGCCGCTAAGTTACACAAATTTTGTTACATTCCTGTTGTGCTTCAACCGTCGAAGTCCTTTTTCAAATGATACTAGCTTTAAACGTTGGGTTTCCCTTTAATCTATTTTTGATCTCTATAATTGTTTCTCGTAACATGGGTCCAGATACCGGCATCTCTCTCTCTCTCTCTCTCTCTCTCTCTCTCTCTTCCATTCGAATACAGCACTATCTACACTTTCGTTTTTTGAATTCGTTAATCTTTTCCTACTGGTACTAGAATCCGCGGAATCTACATTTTGCATGTAATTTTCAATATTATATTTCTGTTCTTTTAATGATTGTAGATGTAATACAATTGACTCCTAGTCAACAGTATTCTCAAACATATTTTTCTAGAGAACGATACTTCGGAAAAATTTTATTTTACTTTTGTATTTCTTATCTCCCCCTCCCCCCCAATACAACCTATAACTATACCCGCTTGCATAATACACGTTGTTCGGCCGGGTCCTGTATAATTACATCCGAGGCACGATAAAGTAGCGCATTTTTCTTTTTAGAAGCTATACTTTTACGACTTACTTAAAAAAAAAAAAAATGTGGCAGCGAGTTTTACGAAAACAATCACGTAAAACAGTTTCCGCGGCAAGTAACGATGCCTTCGATACATTTCACGTGTAATAACAGAGATAGAAATATGTCATTTCCGGTGCGATCTACTACGAGCATGTCAGACTCCTGAAATCTTCATTGTAACCTTTTTCCCATAAGGAAAGAGGTGGACCTGCTAAAAAGATACTCCATTGTCACGCACTTCGGTTTAACGTTCGACTACAACATACCTCGAATCAGCCTCTTCGTAACGATACTGACGTACGTCTTGACCGGCCACAATATTGATGCGGAGAAAGTGTTCATGATAACGTCGTTTTATACAATCATCCGCAACTCAATGACCGTCGCCTTCCCAATGAGTAAGTTCTTCCATTGCTCCAATCGAAATCAATCTTCATCTCGCCATTTATCTGACCGTGTTAACACGTTCGCGATCGTTGGCATAACATCTGTGGCTGTAAAGGAAAACGTCGCGTGCCACGATCTCAACAAGCTTAAGTTTCGTGGGCGAGACACAATTAAAAAGCATGGGAACACTACTAGTTGGTAATCGGAAATTAGTAATCTAATTAGTAATCTAAAAAATTAGTAATCTAATCGTAATTAGTAATCTTACTAATTAGTAAGCGTGTCCCGAACGTGTCTCGCAAATGGGAGATTCCTGGGGTTATTTGAAGTAACTTTCTCCTTAGCGAAAATGCGAACCGCGGCTTTGTTTACGAGTTATTAACGAAAAAACACTGTCCAATAAGAGGCGAGCTCGGCTGGCGTCGAGCCAAGGAACCGGGTTTCGTGCGCTCATTGGCTGGGCAGCCGAGCTCGCCTCTTATTGGTCGGTGTTTTTCGTTAATAACTCGTAAGCAAAGCCGCGGTTCGCATTTTCGCTAAGGAAAAAGTTACTTCAAATCGACCTCAGGAATCGAATCGGATTGCGAGACATTTTTGGGACACATCCTGCGTTTCGAGAATGAATCACCAGAGCAATTTATTTATTTATTTATTTATCTATCGATTGCAAAAAAGGTTTTTTGAAAATATGCTCCTAGCAAGAACTTCAATATTGTTTCTCTTAAAATCTCGTTTCTCAAATTGATCACCACGATCAATCTCAAGGCCTGCTCCGGCTCATCGTCAACGTCGAATAAATTGTGTATCTATGCCACACTAAGCCGCTGCAGCCATTGCGATAATTAAAACAAAATAATATATCGTTTCAATTTTTCATAGCTCGTAATATAGTCGTCATTTAAATTCATCGACCGTAGCCGCTTTCATGTTTAAACAATTACTTGAATGCACATTTTTATATTAACTTGAGATTCTTCGTAATTACTCGGTGAATCGTAAAAACAAAGCGAAATTGTCACGAGTCGACGAAAGAACGTGAAACGTGTTAACACGAACTATCGCGATCTGATCGAAACAACATTAACAAGACCTTGCAATCCATCCAGGTGCTAATCAGTTGGCCGAAGCGACAGTCTCGGTGAAACGTCTCGAGAAGTTCATGATGTATCCGGAGAGGTCCGACTCTCGCACGGCGCATCACCAATCGGCCTCGCAGTCGACGCCCGTGTACTTAAAAAACGTCACTGCCAGGTGGGACCCGTTCAGGGAATACACGTTGCAGGACGTGGACCTGTCGGTGAAAGCGGGTAACTTTATAGTCATAATAGGTCAAATAGGATCTGGAAAGAGTAGCCTATTGCAGGCGATACTTCGGGAGTTGCCGTTGGAGAAGGGTGTCCTGGAAGTGCACGGAAAGATCAGTTTCGCGGATCAGCAGCCTTGGCTTTTCGCCTCCTCGGTGCGACAGAACATTCTGTTCGGCCAGCCGGTGGACGAGGCCCGTTACGAAGAAGCGATTCGGGTGTGTCAATTAACGAGCGACTTGGCCAGCTTTCCGCACGGCGAGGGCACGATGGTCGGTGAACGAGGGATTAAATTGAGCGGCGGTCAGCGGGCTAGGATCAACCTCGCCCGGGCTGTATACGCGGAGGCCGATGTTTACCTGTTCGACGATCCTCTGTCTGCCGTGGACCCCCACGTGGGCAGTCGAATCGTCGAAGAATGCATCCGCGGCTACCTGAGGAGCAAAACTAGAATCCTGGTCACTCATCAAACACAGTACTTGAAATTCGCCGATCAGATCATCGTGATGGACAATGGAAGAGTGGCGGCTAAAGGCAATTTCGAGGAGCTGCAAAATATGAATCTGGACGTGACGAGGATCTTCCAGAAAACGCACGAGTGCAGAGAGTCCAAGGAATCGGAGGACAGGAAGGAAAAGAAACAGGTGATCGAGGACGCGAAAGAGGTGAAGGCCGTTGCCTCCGAGGAGCCGATCGAAGTTGCCGAAACCAGGTCCGTCGGCAGTATTTCGATCGGAGTCTTGTTAACCTATCTGAAAGCGAGCAATAGCATGTTCCTGCTCGTTCTAACGGTACTGTGTTTCACGATCGGCCAAGGGATGACGAGTAGCATCGATTATTTGGTCGCCTTCTGGGTGAACAGCGAGGTTGCGTCGTATGTTAATATCGAGAATGGTACGCAATGGCATGGCCCACTGACTCGAAATAGTATTATCTATATTTATAGCGGATTGACTGTGGCCGCCGTGTTCGTCTATGTGATGCAAACGTTCCTGTATTACGAGGTTTGCATGGGGTCCTCCAGAAATTTACACGCACGCATGTTTCGCAGCATCGTGCGCACTGCCATGTATTTTTATAATGTCAATCCTGCTGGCCGTATACTGAACAGGTACGTCGAAGGTTCGCAGATTTTCTGCGTGGACCCGGCTTCCATCCTAGCCTATGTATCTATGCGACGCTACGAAGGAAAAGCTGAATTATCCTTTACAGGCTCTTACAAGATTGTACTTAACCAGTTAGAGCTGTAGCGCCTCCATTTCAGAGCGCGCACCTATATGTGTTAAAATATTGGGTCAAAATATTATTATTATTAATATAATATACATAATAATATAATAATATTATTCATATAAATATTATATATATAATATATTATATTATATATATATATACTATATTATTAATTATAATAATATTATTTATATATATATATATAATATAATATAATATTAATATAATAATATTATTAATATAAATATTATTATTATTATTATTATTAATATAAATATTATTATTATTATTATTATTATTATTTGATAAAATTAACAATTCTATTACTAATATTTACTTATTCAAAGAGAAACCCAGGGATAATCGAATACTTATAAAAGTTAACAATTCAAATTGCTGCTGTAGAGAAAGAGAGAGAGTGGTATTTAGCAAAGCAAGGGACAATATATAATGGCACTTTGCACATCGAACACCAATACCGTGATTCTTTTCTAATTTTATTTTTATACCAATGCAAACAACTTCGCGTGCAGGATTGGCCTCAAAATATTCTGGACATCTCAAGATTTGAGAATATGTTTTCGTTCTCCTTAAAATTACAATTTAAATAGCCAATGGTCACTGCTTCTTGCGCACGGCGAGTATACTCGTCGAACCCAGCTAACTGGTTAATATAATATCGAGTCTAATCCATTTCGTCGATTGATCGATACTTCGAAGCATGATACAATAGTTCGAGCCGGCTCCATGCAGAAATATCACGTGTCGAGGATTTCGAATATTTCAGCGTTAACGGGACTTGCAGGTTCTCCAAGGATATCGGTATGATCGACAAACATCTGCCGTTCACTATGATGGATGTCATATTGATGGCGTTAACTTGCATGGGTACCGTAGTGATCCTTTGCAGCGTCAGCTTCTGGCTGCTCATACCAACAACCATACTAACTATCGTTTTGTATTATATGCGGGTAATATATATTACGACTAGTCGGGCCGTCAAACGCCTCGAGGGTGTCAGTAAGTATAGCTCTAGAAAAATATGTACACATTCGGTGACGAGACTTCTTTACGATCGCGGAAGCATATGCGTTACACGGTTAAAAGAAAACGATCCAACTTCTTATGGTTTCCAGCACGATCGCCGGTGTTCGACCACTTAGGCGCCACGCTGCAAGGTCTCGCAACGATCAGGGCGTTCAAGGCCGAGAAGTTAGTAACCACGAACTTCGATAACCACCAGGACCTGCACTCCTCCGCCTGGTACCTCTTTTTTTCCTGCTCGCGTGCTTTCGGCCTCTACATCGAAACGATCTGCACGTCGTACATGAGCCTGGTGACGGTCATGTTCATAGTGTTCGATGACCTGGCGGTCGCTGGTGACATCGGTCTGGTAATCACTCAGATCGTCGCAATCGTTATGAATCTGCAGTGGGGTATAAGGCAAACGGCCGAGCTGGAGAACAATATGACATCTATAGAAAGAGTCTTGGAGTACAGTAACCTCGAGGAGGAACCATTCTTGGAAAGCAAGCCGGATGAAAAACCTCCGGAAGACTGGCCCACGAAGGGGCTCGTGGAGTTCAGGAACGTGAAGCTAAAGTACGAACCCAAGGGTGCCTATGTCTTAGAAGACATCAATTTTGTGATCATGCCCAAAGAGAAGGTTGGCGTCGTCGGGAGAACCGGCGCTGGCAAGACATCATTGATCAGCGCGCTCTTCCGGCTAGCTTACATCGAGGGCGAAATCCTTATAGACGATATAGCTACCCACACAGTGGCGTTGCAGGACTTCCGTTCGAAGATTAGTATTATCCCGCAAGAGCCGGTTCTGTTCAGCGGAAGTCTGCGCCGTAATTTGGATCCCTTCGATGAGTACTCCGACACCGTTTTGTGGGAGGCTCTGGAACAAGTCGAGCTCAAGGAGACCATATCTGACATGGCCGCCGGTCTGAATACCAAGGTGGCCGAGGATGGGTCGAACTTCAGCGTTGGTCAACGTCAATTATTATGCCTTGTTCGAGCTCTGATTAGGAATAATAAGATCATGGTGCTAGACGAAGCCACTGCCAACGTCGATCCACAGACCGACTCCCTGATCCAACAGACGATCAGGAAGAAGTTCATGGATTGTACTGTCTTCACTATAGCGCACAGGCTAAATACTATTATGGATAGCGATAAGATTCTGGTAATAGACCGCGGCCGCCTCGTGGTAAGTGTTTTATTGTTGAAATGTACGTTTCTACTTCTCTCATAATGTCTCATTACCTTCGTGCCACTTCGCTTGCTAAGCAATATATTAGTTAATGATCTTTGAGATATTTGGCAAATCAAATTCTTTCACCGATTTGTCCTCCGAGACGCTCTTTCTTGTATCAATTAAAAATGAGATATTTAAAGAGTACTCGAGTTAGGTGGGATCTCCGCTATCTTTTTTTTATTTTTTTATTTGGAGCAAATCAGAAAAGTATAAGGATCGCCGTTTCTTTTCTTGGGAAACTTAATTTCTAAATTCGACCATTTCAGGAATTCGACCATCCGCACGTTTTATTACAGAAGAAAGGCTATTTTTACGATATGGTGCAGAAAACTGGTACTGCGATGGCAAATAGTTTGACGGAAGTGGCGAGAAACGTGAGTAACAACTATTTACGAGCAAATAAGAAAATAAAAAGATACAATGTCGCGTGTTAATATAACCTGCGCCGATTTTCCAGTTTTTTTACAGGAAAAGCGAAGCATCGACTTGAAGATTGTGAATTTCTGTCAATATTAAAGATACAACGACATTCGAACACACTTTTTGATACATAGAATTTGTATTTTAGTGATCAAAACTTGCTAGACGTGTCTTCAACTATACAAACGAAGTGTAATGCTTACACACCAAAGTATTATCTACGAATGATTGATTATTCGTTTAGCATAAGTATAAATATCGATAACTTTTTTCTAAGGAAATCACCGCCATTTAGATACTACGAAACAGAAACTATTGAGGTATCCGAAAAGAACGTAAAAAAAAAATTTTTCTTATTAATAAAAAATAATTTATATACTATCAATGTAACTAAATTTTTTTTACCTTTAAACAAGTATGCGAAATATAGCACAGGATAACTTTAATGAATAATCCTAAAATTATTAACACTGTTTTCAGTTCCACGTTCGATAACCAAAATGTTTCGTTGAAGTTCGGAAATCTTTAAACACGTACAATGATAAAGAGAAATTTGCAGCTAGACAATCGTCTACTTATATGTTCCTTTCTCCAGCTCAATTAGACTGTTGTTCGCAGCACGGAGAGAAACGCCATGGAAGATTTTACAATCTGTTAAAAAAAAAAAAATGGATAGATATCATTTCTGTGTAGTTTTACTAAATATGTGAATATTCATTGTTTCATCGATTAACGCTTAGCCAACCGGACGGGGAGATCTACCCGTTTTAAATTCACTCGGTTGACGGTCGAATGGATGATTAATGAAAAATGAAAAATGATTGCTTAATTTTATTAAGATTCGCAAGAGGTACGAATGCTGAAGTAGTAATCGATGCCATATAAGTTTGCTTTATAATNTTTACTAAATATGTGAATATTCATTGTTTCATCGATTAACGCTTAGCCAACCGGACGGGGAGATCTACCCGTTTTAAATTCACTCGGTTGACGGTCGAATGGATGATTAATGAAAAATGAAAAATGATTGCTTAATTTTATTAAGATTCGCAAGAGGTACGAATGCTGAAGTAGTAATCGATGCCATATAAGTTTGCTTTATAATTTTTGTTTAATCGAATGAAATATTTTAATTTTATGAACATTTTTGAGCTTTCTAGCGTGGTCGTGGAAGTGTTAATAGAAACAGCGGAACAATTAATGGAACAAGCGATAGTGCTTACATTGCTGAAGCCAAAAAGCGTAAATCTATAGAATTTCCCAGCCGTTAAGTACTCAGCTTTTTGTCCGTTTATTAAACAGATTGTCAAAGATCTTCTGTCCCTGTTCGCGATGTTCGTCCAATCGGTGACGTAGAACGCTTCACCCACTTGCTGCGACTAAATATCACGATTGCTTTGGTATCAGTGTTTACGAATGAATGGTTGAAATGAATAAATACGAACCTCGTGAACAAGTTGCTCGCCAATATAGGAGTACAAATACAACCAGGCCGCCACAATGATAGAATATAAAATAAAATTAACAGCAGCCACCGTATCTTTTGCAAGCATCTATGATATACGAAAGATAATAAAATGAAAAAATTAACATCACGTTCTCACAAGTAAAAGAATTTTGAAATATACTTCTAATCGATTTAGATCGTCAAACTAATTTTCACAACAAACAATGTGATTCTAAAACAGCATAATACATCTCTTGCGGTTATTATTCATTCTTTATATTACCATATCAAGTATATGTGCCTTAAAGAGATTCGATTACATACGATTATCACCACGTACATAGAAACGCCCAATCGGAAACTACAGTTCAGATATTCTATCAGAAGGATATGGTGGAAACAGTCGTTTAGAATATTTGAAAACCTGAAATTCATGCAGATACAATTACTATAGACATATAGACGGAGACTTCTATACGCGTTTATTGGTTCTTGTCAGCCATTTCCTATCCACAAAGATCATCGCTTTTACCGCATTTGTCATTTCACAGCAATAGCTGGGAAATGGCGCCAATTAAAGTAGAATTCCAATTATCCTGCATGCTCAGAATCAAGACAGTGTCGGATAGTCAAATATACTAGGTATATTTAACTCTATATTCTTATTTATTTATATTTGACTCTATATTTGTATTCGACTCTATATTCTTCTTCATTATCGCTGCGATAAAAATATGGCAATTGAGACGATAAAAGAATGTTTCAAGGACACAGAAATGTTCACAGATATTTACTACACCCGTTTCACGCGAAAGAGGTCTATTTATCGCTGACAGAACAGAGAATATTCAGTAGTTGACGCAGCTACAGATGTATTCTTGCAGAGTTAACGAAAAAGAGATTACATGGACGGAAAATGTCACGAAATTTGCAGACTTGAGGATTGCAAAATTACTCAGAGAATACAGAAACGTGAAGGAGTCTCTCCTACATCTGTAACGTATAACCGAAGTGTACCGATCGTTGAAAAACGAAAGAACAATCTAAGATCGGAAAAGAATATATTCTGCAGTTGGAAATTAAAAAATATCACCATTTGAGACAATTGGCACCACTTATGGTGATATTTCGAACTATATTTTTGCGGAGTCTGTACAACGCTAAAGCACGAAGTGAGAAAACGCCGAAATTGTTCGCAGAAATTATTTACTGATGTTAATTTTGGGATTTGAATATTTCCGTAAAGATGATGACAATATGTTGAACCACTAAAAATTCTGTCTCATGCCCGCGGTGCCATATGTGGCAGAATCAAAATTGCCATTTGCGAATAAATTTTACGAACAGTTTAAGCGTTACCACTTTCTCAAACAGCGCTATCTTAAATTTTTCAAAAAGAACAAACTATTTTTCACAAATTTCAAGCTGTTCACGTTATTTTCAACAACAAATACACTTTGCGTGCATGATTTATATACAGGAGAGTTTCTGAAACGTTTTTATATCCTCAGAATATGTTTTAGCTATAAATGTATCTAAAAACTGAGATATAGACATAACAGAATTTCGATGGCCAGCATACTCGGAATAAAAACGGTGTCGGATAATCAAATCGGCCTGACAATTTCCCTCCACGTTATCACCTCGATCAAAGAAACACAAGCATACATCTCGACGAAATCATTCAGCTTCCGAATCAAAAGAAAATCTACGTACTCACTCCAACAACTCCAGATGCTCGATCACTATAGTTTTCATCCTTTGCTGAAAATGCCCCGAAGATTGCGTTAGAGACATTCGTATTCGGCAGGCCAGCACCGACAATTTTCCGCAAACGTGTAGGGTCGAGGTGACGATCAGACTAGCTTCGGCTGCATGGTACACACCCACATACGCAGCGGGAAGTTGGAAGATGTATATCATAGTGTATATTTTAGCGTTATAGCGGTAGTCGAAAAACACATGAGCCCGGAATGGTAGCACGAAGGGCTGTGTGCTGTTGACTTCATCTATAACAACGTTGTTACTCGGACGATACAATTGTTCATTCTCTCAGAAATAAAACTCTACTGTTTGTGAACAGTGAATTCCGCTAAGATTACCTGTACCAGAATTAACCATCAGGTCTATCAACGGACGCGCGAACATCATGTAAGCGACGACGAATGCGAACACCGACACATATTTGCCGAAATAAACGGATATGTTGTTGTACTTTCGATAACGTCGTTTCTCCTCGTCGTTCTCGAACGATATCGCGCCGTTTATATCATTTTGGATTTTCTCGATCACCGCTGGCAATCTCTTGTTCGTGCGAATAAGGACAAGAATCAACGTCACCGAAACCGAGACAGGCCATTCCGTCGCGCTAACCACCAACGTCTCAAAATTGTGCAAAACATCGTACGTATCCCAAGCTTGCATCAGTATCAGGAAAAGGAAATATAATACGATCAGCTTGAACAGTTTCGGACTATCTTGCGGCGGCATCACGCCGCCTATCGCAAATATTCGTCGACAGTACGCGAGAGAGTCCCCAATTCGGTTGTAGTCGCTACTCTATAACAGTTTTTACGAACCAATTCCCACACATGAGAAATCCAACGGTAAATAATTTACCTACCAATGACCATCCACATTCGTTTTTCAAAAGACAATAGTTAACGATTCGGGATTTTCTAATAGAGGTCTCGATACCAATGGCAAATGTTCACTCGTGAACGAAGTTAGCAAAAAGCCTAGGAGCAAGCTCAACAATAAGTTCCCGATAAGCAAAGTGTCAACGTAAACATTGTTACGTGCGAAACGCTTGCTCGTTAGTACACTTCGATTTCTCATTGCCAAGAAACATTGGAAAAGCTGACGAATTGCCAAAAAATTCCTGTCCTCTGTTTACGAACTGAACGCAACGCCCTTAAAAAAATTGTATGTTCTGAATTAGGTTGATTTAAACAAGCGTTTCACATGGAACAACCGCGAGCAAATCGCGCCGCCTCGCTTACTGTCATCGCGCTTCTATTCTTGATCCCGAAACTGAACCGACAACGCTATGGCAGGCGTTTTTTACGCGACATCAAGCAACCAACGGACACGGTCGCACATGGTAATTCAAGCGACGGAATAAAAGCGAACTGAATTCAACATTTTCGTCGATGTGGATAATTACTGTGTAGCTTTGTGCTGTGCCAGTAATTTTTTATCTGCTCCTTACGACGGTACACGCGCCTGGTTTTTTTTCTAACAGGTTCGAAACTCCGCAAATCTGTGGTTAGAGAAAGGTAACGAAGATAATCGAACCAGTGATTTGTGCGCGAAAATTGAGCAACAGTACATCGCTTCGGTAGAATTATTTATCATACCGAACCGAGGGTGGACGAAGAAATAAGAGCGATCGATTGGTTCGCAGTTGCATTTTGCGAACTTCGAATAGTGTAAAGAATTGCTGACGACCGAAAGTACCTCCCGGATTTCTCCTTCGAAAGTTTGTCCACCATTTCGATCTAAACTTGGAGTTTTATCGTAATGTTGATCAAACGTATTGCACTACGACGATCCTGGCTACTTATAGTTGATAAAACATCGTGAACGCTGCATGAACTATGAAACTGTCATGCTTTCGTGCAAATGCGGGAAAAATCTATAGTAAGTAAAGCCAACATTCTCTGGATACTTTTATTTGTATGTTTTCTCGGTAGCTAAATATTATGTTTGTCTTCACGACTCTTGAATCACGTGCATTAACATCGTGAACGCTGCATGAATTATGAAACTGTCATGCTTTCGTGCAAATGCGGGAAAAATCTATAGTAAGTAAAGCTAACATTCTCTGGATACTTTTATTTGTATGTTTTCGGTAGCTATAAATATTATGTTTGTCTTCACGACTCTTGAATCACGTGCATTAACATCGTGAACGCTGCATGAATTATGAAACTGTCATGCTTTCGTGCAAATGCGGGAAAAATCTATAGTAAGTAAAGCCAACATTCTCTGGATACTTTTATTTGTATGTTTTCTCGGTAGCTAAATATTATGTTTGTCTTCACGACTCTTGAATCACGTGCATTAACAGACGGTAACTTCAAGTTAGACGACCAGCACCAGGTTTATTCGACTCTTGTTCGTAGTACGGACAAGAAAGCCATGGAAGTTTTCACGATCTGTTGAAAAAGTGGATAGATATCTTCCGTGCATAATTTTATCACGAAACACGGTATTCTTGTTGAATACTTGAACGTCCGTGATTATGCATCCGTCAGAAATGCTTGCGGATATTTCCTTCTTAAAAATTAGTCACTAGGAACAGATTGTTCTACTTACGTCGCAGAAACCGAAAAGCGTGAATCTGTAAAACTTCCCAGCCATTAAATATTGAGGTCTTTGTCCGTTTATTAAACACATTACCAAAGATCTTTTATCCTGGTTTTTCAAGTCAGTCCAGACGGTGTGGTAAAATGCTTCACCAACTTTCTGCGACTGGATATCATAGTTGTCCCGATATTAGCGTATATTTTGCAATAAGATCGCAATTTTAAATGGATGGTAATAAATACAGGCAGGCGTTAAGATGGTTGATCTCAAACGATTGGATTCTTAAAATTATCTCATAAAAAAAAAAAGAAAGAAATAACAGACAATCAACGATACAAACCTCGTGAGCAAGTTGCTCGCCAATGTAAGAATACAAGTACAACCAGGATGCCACGATTAAGGTGTATGAAATAAAAATAATAGTAGCCATCGTATCCTTCCCTAACATCTGTGCAATGTAAAAGGTAGTAAAAAAAACGAGCGTAACGTTCTCACGCGAGTAAGAAAATGTTTAGAAAGTGTTTGTTGACGCATGTGCTTTAAGAAGATTCGATTACATACAACTAACGCCACGTACATGGTAATGGCCAATCTGAAGCTACAATTCAGATATTCCATTACAAGAATATGGTGGAAACAGTCGTTTAAAAAATCCGCCAACCTGTAATAAACCTACATACAATTATCGTTTCCTTTCAACAAGTGATCTAACAAGAATTGACGTATTCACTCCAACAAATCCAAATGCTCCATCACCATTGTTTTCATCCTCTGCCGGAAATGCGCCGGAGATTTCGTTAGGGACAGTCGAATTCGGTACGCCAACATCGACAGTTTGCCGCAAATGTGTAGCGTCGAGGTGACGATAAGACTGGCTTCAGCTACATGATACACTCCTACGAATCCAACGGGAAATTGGTAGATGTACGCCAGAGTGTATGCTTTTAGATCATAGCGGTAGTCGAATAACATATGAGACCGGAACGGTAGCACGTAAGGTCTCGTGTTGTTGCTTTGATCTGGAACAAAGTTTTTACTCAGACGAACACGGCTGATCGAATATAAACGCTACTCTTGCCACAGATTTTGTCATGTCCTCGATTCGTGGATTGTTCGAGAAGAAAAGGTACGTTCAGTTTTTCTAGTCACTTCATAACGTGAAATCAGAGAGAGAATCAATCCCGAGATCATATTCCAGACTCTGGAGACCTCGGGAAACAATTCATCTCCGTGAAACATGACCTCGGGACTGTAAAAATTGAAATGTTACGCGTGAAAACAAGCCTAGGCAGATTTTTAGGATCAGTTTTACGATAAAGTTACTTCTCATTGACATATAATGATTATGATCAATTAACACGCTACGATTAAGAATGCATATTACAAAAGACTGGGTGAAAATTAGTATTTACGTTAACGATTAAAGATTACCTGCGCGAAAATTGATCAGCAAACTGGCCAAGGGGCGAAAGTACATCATGTAACTGACAGTGACTGAGATCAGCGATCCATATTTGCCGATGTAAAAGGATATGTTGTTGTATCTCAGATAAAGTCGTTTCTCCTCGTCGTTCTCGAACAACATCGCGCCGTTTATGTCTTTCTCGATTTTCTCGATCACAATTATCAGCTTCTTGTTCGTCCGAATAAGGACAAGCGCGCACAGCATCGAAATCGTGAGAGGCAGTTCTCCCGCGATCTGTATTAATGCGTCGAAATCGTGCACGACGTCGTACAAGTCCCAAATTTCCAACATAGTCAGAAGGAACACGTAGAACACTACGACCATAAACAGCGGCGTGCTGCCGTACTGGGGCAATACACTGCCGGTGGCGAATATTCGCTGACAGTACAAGAGCGAGTCTTTGATCTCGTCCGGATCGTTGCTCTGCAACATTTTAGACCCCTGTCCTGGCATGAGAAACACTTCCTCAACCGTTTGCACTCGAAGCTATTTTAATTATATTCTAAACATATCTTTCCGATCTACAGTGTTTCCATTTTATATGATTTATTGCGATTTATGCACACGAAAGCCTATATGGCAAGTACAAAGCTTGCAATTTTAAGAGTCTTTTAGATACAAACGAGTCTGATACTATTAGAATTATTTAAAAAAATAGTATAGCAATTTTTAGTGGCGCCTCGGAGTCGCCACTCCGGGTGCAAAGGGTTAATACTTCACTTGCTATTTAAAAGAGAACGATTAAGATTCTTCTAGATATAATGTAAATATTGAAAAATCGTTGAACATGCTTCCGGTAGATAAAGTGTTTACGTTAACGTTGTTACGTATGAAACGCTCGTGCGCTAAGGCAATTCGAAATTTTAATTTTCACTTTTCGTTCGACGCGGAACAACAATTTCTCCGAATGGTAAGCTCTCCTTTTTATACTGGAAATATTCGAAGTCTCGCAGGGGTCGCAGATAAAAATATCCAAAAATTACTCGGTTCACCCTCTTGACTTAGAACAAACGTTTCATACGGAACGATCCGTAGGAAACCACGTCAACTCTCTTACTGTCATTGTCAGTCTATTCTTGATCTTCAAACTGAAACGACAATGGTGTGTGAACCGTTTTTATATGGTTGCATGCGATCAACGGCACGGTTGCATGTGACAATTCAAGCGCGGAGTAACAGCGAACCGAATCGCAACCGTCCCTTCGGTGAAAGTAATTATCGTAAAGCTTTCTAGCGCCCCGTTCATTTTTTATTTGTTCAAGACTGTATCGCCGAGAACTGCGAAGGGGAAACGCTGACGAAGATAATTGAACCGGCGATGTTTGCTCGAAAATTGACCAAGATGGTAAAGCAGAATTATTTAGTGGCGAGGGTGGCCGAGGGTGGCAGAAGAAAGAAGCGTGATCGATAAGTCTTCAGTTGCATTCTGTGAACTTCAAATAGCGTTAAGAATTGCTCTGACTGCTGGAGGTATCTACCGGATTTCTCTCTCTCGAGAGAGAGAGTTTTATCACTGTAATCTTAATTTCTAGTTTTATCATACCGTGTTGCATTCACCGTATTGCACTACCACGATCCTTGTTACTTACAGTTGATGTATAGATCGTTAAAACTGCCTGAACTATGAAATTGTTACATTTTTGTACAGATGTGGGACAAATTTAGGAAGCAAATGCAACATTTTTTCGACACTTTTATTTCCATTTTCGCGGTACCTAAATAACAATGTTCATCTACGCGAGTCTCCAAACATGCGCATTCTTAAACAGAAACTTCAAATTAGCGAACACTGTCAGAAATCGTTTGCATTGTTCTTATTTCCGTTTTCGATCATCAGAATGTTATGTTTATAATTGAGAAATCTTTGAACATACGCGATGGAAAATAGAAATTTGCAGCTATACAATCGCCTACTTATACATCACTTTTTCCAGCTTTATCCAGACCATCGCTCGCAGTACGGAGAGAAACGCCCCATGGAAGATTTTACAATCAGTTAAGGAAAAAGCTGGATATCATTTCTGTGTAATTTTACTAAACACGTGTCAGCGAATATTCTTTGTCTTATCAGCTAACAGAAACAAGCGATAGTGCTTGCATCGCTGAAACCAAAAAGCGTAAATCTATAATATTTCCCAGCCGTTAAATGCTCGGCTTTTTGTCCGTTTATTAAACAGATTGCTAAAGATCTTCTGTTACTGTTCGCGATGTTCGTCCAATCGGTATCGTAAAACGCTTCGCCCACTTGTAGTGACTAAATTGCCGTGGTTGTTTTTTTCTTCGCTTTTTCATCCGCATTTTTTAATGATTGAAATAAATAAATAAGACCGTCACAGCAGAAGGCTGTGTCGTGGTCAAAAACGGAACGCGAAAATCAAGCTAAGGCAATAATACTCGACATATGCGAAATCAGCGATTATTTCATTCGCAACGATATACTTTGATTAATTCACTTCAATGCTAATGACAATCGCGATGGTTTTATTCGCTACGCTAATTTTGATCTCTGCCGATCTCTGAAAATGAAGCGAAACAACGCGAAATTATTTTGCAACGCGCTATTGCAAGTCGCGGATGTGCCCAAATACTACTGCTACTACTATTACAAGAACTACTATTACTATCGCAGCGAGTACAGCGACCAATTAACAATAACATATACATAATAATATACATGATAATATACACAATAATCTTTGACTTACAATAGTATCGAGTACCTGAAAATAAAGAATCTGAAAATAAAGGACCTGAAAATCCTAGCTAAAATGGGGTTATTAGTTCCAAAATCAATCTGTTTCGACGAGTGCGTGCGAATTTAATTACTCGATAATTAAATTCGAACGGAAAACGCGAATCATCGAAAAGAAAACATTCTAACAACAAGTATGTGGTCATTGTACTTGAAAAATTGAGAAAACTATCGGTCGAATAAGAGCATGCGGCTTACATTTCGATGCGACGTTGGTTCTGGAATTTGTGGTAGGTAGAAGTAAACGAAAGTAGGAGCGGAGTAGCAATAGCAGCAGCAAAGACAGCAGTTGGAGAGAGGAACACGCATTTCAGATTCGAGCAATGACTTTGAGCCGAACGAACAAACAAAGGACAAACGTATTTAACAAAATTAACAAGAGACTTGCACAAATAGGTCGGTGACTTAGTAAATCTTTAGTTTCCTTGACAATTATATCACATCTTAATTCTTAACAATTTAATTTTTATTTTATTGTAATTTCACGCACTAAGTTTCCTTGGAAATTATATTACATCTTAATTCTTAACAATTTAATTTATTGTAATTTCACGCACTAAGTTTCCTTGAAGATTATATTATATCTTAATTCTTAACAATTTAATTTATTATAATTACAATTTTGGAAGAGCTTACTTGAAATACGACTGGTCCCCTCATTAGCCAAGTTCGGACTAATTGAGCAGCGACTTCGCGTCGAGCGAGCACAAAGGATACCCCCACCACTGACTTTGACGATCGACGATCGCGCGATCGACGGCGATCGATAATTTCGACGATTTCGATTATTTCCATTTATTCAATATTCGCGATTATTTATTTTGCAATAATGCTATCCGGTGCCCGAGAAATTATTTCATCGCTTGATTTGTTCATGAAAAGTACCAACGAGGCTCAATTAACAATTAATCGTCTTGCATAAATCGATCGAATTGTTTCAGTTATTATATCGAATTGCTTTTGTTAATTAATTTATTATTTCTCGCTTTCTAATATTCGCAACAATCCTGTTTGATAGAAGTATGGTGAAGCACCCCACTGGCAATTTTGCTGTTTAATTTTCTGGCAAAAATGTAATGTTTCGAGCAAAAAAGTTTCAAGAAATTGTTGCAGCAGACGAGCTTCGTTGATAAATCGAATGCATTTGAAATTAATGCATCTGAAGAAATTTGTAAAATTAGGGGGATATAATAAGAAGAAGACGAGAAAAGGAGAGAATAGGGCAAATGTGTTATTGAATTACGGATTTTGTAAATATTATATACACGTTTTACTACTACCACAGATATAATTAATATAATAATTAATATATAATAAATATATAATAATAATATATAATAATTAATATAATTAATATATATAATTAATTTAGTGACATATTTACTGCAGCACTGTTTATTATTTTGAAGAAAATAATATTGAAACGAAAAACATGAAAACACAGTCGATAACTGCAATAGAATACGTAGAAAGCAACAGATGGCGTTATGATCAGCAAAAACGTGCGTCGTAACCTTCGAGTATTTGAACGATGTTATAAATATTTTACTATATAATAATACTGACAATTATATTACTTGACAAATTGTATCGCACACATATATAGAAATCGCAGTTAAAAAATATTTACGAAATTAGAATTTTTACCAGCTGTGATAACTGTGACCGGTTAACGGTAAAGTTATGGAAATAGAGTAAGTTCGAATCCTGATTACATATACAATTCCAAATGTCGTCTAACTTAAACGTGGTCACGTTACAAAATATTCAATACTCTCTTAAATTTCTCAACTATCCTCACAAATTCATTTAAATCATTATCATTCACGTTCCACATGATCGCTACACATAAAGATAACAACAAATATTTCAAAGATGATAATAAAGCAAATAAATGCAACAGAGTGCTTCAAAGAAATAATCTCTTAATAATAATCTTACACCATTAACTAAAAATATACATTGGCGTTTCGATTTTCGTTCACCACATATTTTGACACTCGCCACTCCGCTACACAATTCAATGTTCTCACAGTATAATTTTCTTGAATTTACATTGATCAAAGACGTTACGGTGATCGCTTCCGAAACTAACGTAGTCCATCAGCACGCCTTCCGATTCGTCAAATACATTTTATTTCGCATTCGAAAAATCAGATCAAGAGCCCCGGAGAACGAAAACACGGGAAATTCCATAGCCGAAGCGTCGTTGTACACGGAAAGGACCTTCGGTATACCTGGATCGTGATCCCTTGATCCGCACCTGGCAGCCATGATCGAGAGAAAGATAGACATAGAAACGATCCAGCCGGCGCGCGGTGGTGTTGGTAACGAGACAGGGCCGTAGAACGCCAGTGCCGCGGCAAAGGTGATTCGACTCGGTGGAGGGAGGGAGACAGCACAATAGCGAGCGCGACGTTCTCCAGAAGAGCCGCAGTCTCGTTCGGTGTGTGTTTATTGGCGGTCGTAGTAGCGCGGGTGGGTTTGTCACGGCGAAGGAGCGGAACGCGTACAGAGAGCCGGTCCCCAACTTAGTGTATGGAAAGGAAAAGCGTGTACATATTTCGTCGGGTTCGAACGCGAGGCGAAAACGAACGGGAATAAATGTGGTAGCCGAGAATGTCTCGTGAGTGAACGGTGTGCAACAAGAGACGCCGTTAAGTGCGGGTGTCCTCGAGCTCGACTGCAGATCTCTAGACCGGTCGACGAAAATGCGGGCGCGATACGTTGTGGCAGGTGAGTGTAAAGGTCCGAAGCGAGAGCTCGCCGTTCGCGCGTCGTTCTTGATCCTTCTTCCTCTATGCCCGCCCGTTGCAAATTCCGCGATCCAGGAGCAAGCACGTGAAACAGATAAATCCATCCGTTCGACCTCGTCGTCGGATCGAACGGTGCGCTACCGATCGATATTCGAATCGTCGATCGACGCGGTGTGTTTCCACATCGGTCTCCACGGCGGACGAACGTTACACGGTTCGAATATACACGGGGATCTATGGGAACGACGTACCTTCGGTAGCATAGAATTCGTGACAGGTGGGGGGAAGAGGCCGTCTTCCCAAACCGTTCCGCACACCTGATCGTCTCTCTACCTGGAGTACTGTTATATGTCCGTATACACTAGGATCGTCTAAAATAAACGTCGTTCTGCTTCACGGAACACCCGTAATATTCCTGCCAGTGTGTTTCGCGGCGCGTTCCTTTTATTTCCCAGCTGCCGAGGAAGCGTCGTTACCGTTCACGCCGACGAATATTATTAATATTATATGTTAATATTATAAATAAATATATGTTAATATTATGATATATATATTATAGGTTAATATTAATATTAACTTTTGCAATCGCGAGGTTTCTGCGAGATAAAATCAATTTTTCTATTCGAATCGAAGTTTCTCGTTGCGAGTCCGCGCGACTGTAACACGGTTCTTCGTCTTCGACTGTCGGAGCTCTGCTCACCGAATCGCTCGCTGTCATGCATAACGGGCGAAGGAATTAAAACTAGGTATTCGCAAGGATCGATAACGTTAGTGCAACGACCTCCCCGTAGACTCTTGCACGATCGTTCCGCGCTTTGGTCAATGATCGATCTACGCGAAACGGTGGCCAAGAAGAGCGGCCGTGCGACAAAGAAAGTTCTGCGAAAATTAAGACGATGTAATAGAGAGTGCTACTATCCGCACTGTACACTCGCATTCACAAGCCAGAGCAGCGGCAATATCGATCGTTTTAAAATCACATATCTCCTGTTGTTTCACGGCTCTCTTTGACCGCGCTCCCCTTCTGCAGCGAACTGTCGCGTGAAAACTCAACGCATCCAGACCAAGCGGCTTCAGCGCTCTTCGTTCCAATTGCAAAAGCTCTCGGCGCGCGTCGCGTCGGTGCATTGTACACTTTCTTTTCTTACCGTCTCTTCATCCGTACGTGTAATTTCATTCGTGAAAGCCCGCGATAGTAGGCGTCCGTCGTCCCGGGTATACGTCATCGGCAGTGCGGTATCCAACGGACGGCCCGGGCCCGTAAGCATTAGGGTGTCCCATAAGTTCTGTCCTTTTTTTCTGATGCGAAACGATTACACGATATTTGTTGTTTAACCCTCTACGGGCCCATGTAACTTTCAAGTCACAAGATGATATATCCACATTTTACCAAATTGTTTTAGTTTCTTTTTCACAAGATGATGTACACGTCTTAATTATACAATGCCTCTGAAATAACCGATAACAATATTGATGACGGTTGGCAGCATCGTCAACCCGAGATGTCAAAATAAATACCTTGCATGTTGTCCGCAGATAGAAACCAACGAACCATCTTGTGTAATTGAGATTATTTGTGCTTTCGTCGGAGTTTACTAAATAAAAAAAATATATAGTAGCAAGTATAGTATAGCAAGTAGTAAAGTATATAGTAGCTCTGGGTCTGTGTATCAATAACAATTTATTTACTTGCATTGCAATAATAATTTTGTTACTATTTGTATACGATTACAGTTTTGTAACTTTCAGGTTACATTGGGATATTGTGGTAGATTCGAGTGTATTTAGGATAATAGTTGTGCTTTCTTCTATTTTCAAATTTATGCATCGAATGCCCCCAAAATATGAATACAAAATCATATAAAAATAAAAGAGGAATTAGAATTAGAATTAGACGCATCAGCGGTAATAGATCCGCGAAGATTCTTTCTTAGATTCTGAGTTCGATGAAGATCATCCAGACGACGCATACATATTATTGACAGTGACGATGAATTTAGCACCGAATTATCATCGGATGAGGAAAATTCAGGACCACAAAAAGCTACATATTTGGCAACCAGTTCCAAATGCAACCGTACATCGATGTTCAACGCCAAATTCAAACTGTTTTATGGAATTTCACGCTTAAGCGTTCGTGCATAGAAGTGGAAATATTGTAAGCCGTTGTTATTTCAAAGTTACAAATTGAATTAATTATAATAAAGTTGTTTGAACTGTTAAATATTTTTTTAATGAGCATACATAGGTTTATAATAATAGATTTTCCGTTGCATAAATTTTTTTACATTTAAGAAAGAAATTCGGCCCATAGAGGGTTAATTTATTTAGTTTATTTAATTGATTTATCGAGTTATATATGAACCGTTCTGCTCTATTACCTTCTTCCATCTTTCGGGAAGCCTCGTTATGCCGTCTTTACAAGATCGTTGAGGCTTATTTGCAAAATATATTGATCAAGGTGCGTTTTTATTTCGCTTACGAATTTAAACCGTTTTTCACGGAGAGAATTTTTTTCACGAGAAGAACAAGTAATAATCGGATGGAGCAATGTCTGGGGAGTACGGAGGATGAGGTAGAACGTCTCGATCAAGCTGCAATAATTTTTGTCTTACGACCAACGCAACATGCGGTTTTGCGTCGTCGTGATGAAAATTTGACGGTGTGGAACTTCGAATCGATTCACATATCCCATCTCGATTAAATGCTTATGTACCGTTGTCCTGGGTACGTTAGTGGCATCCGCTATCTCGCGCACGCTATACCGCGGATTTTCAGCGAGCATATCTTTGACGAGGTCCGCATCCGTCGTTGTTGTACGGCCGCTGCGGTCTTCGTCTTCCAAATCATAATTGCCAGCTCTAAATCTCTTAAACCAATCGCGGACTGTCCTGATAATCGTAGAACCATCGCCGTAAACGGTACAAATCTCGTTCGCAGTGTTCTTTGCCCTATCACTTTTTTTTAAAGCAATGAAGCATAACATGCCGCAAATGCTTCTTTTGGCTATCCATATTGAACGGCGTAGAAAAA